TCCGGACTGGGATTACATGCCTTACAATCCTGATAAATGTTTTTGCAACTGCAGCATGTGACTGACGTGGGTCCATTTTTGCCTGTAGCAAAACCTAGCAATCACCTGCTGCTGCGGTTGTTCGTGACCCACAACCTCCTCTTCTTGGGACAGCAGTGGCTGCGGTCCACATTGCTTCTCATGCACAAAAAACAATGCTGTGGTTGACACAAAACTCCTGGACACAACTTCCTTTTTTCAGTTTCCCAATGATTCTTCCTCGCGTAAAGTCACCCTAGTGTTGTCTCTGAGACTTGATGTAATCAAGAACACCACTACATTCCACAGTCACTTCTCCCTGCTTAGTTTACCCCTCTTGTCCTGCCCCACGATACCCATCGTTCTGGGTGGCCACCCCATTTAGGCTCCAGATTGAAGCCGGATGCAAGACATATGAGGCCCACTTCGGTGCCCATGACTGTAGGGCTTCTAGCATTATGCCCGTACAGTTTCATCCAATTCCATCTAATTGTTAATAAGTTAGGACAATTTATCTATCTGGTCCTTAAGTTTTGCACACCAGTGTAGTTAGCAGAGCGACAGCTTAACCGCCCCGTCTCAGCAACAGTGGCCATATGAAGGTTATCCAATCTCACATACCGTTTTTGACAACAATGATAACTCACAATGTTTTAAGAGTTCACTAAGCAGATGCGGTTTTCATATTTGTAAACAGCTTCCGACAGCTATATTAGTAAAGGGTGTGGAAAAATAGCAACGTGTGCGCTTTGGCTCAAGGAAATCAGATCAAGTGTTAGTGGAAGCTGAAGTGCACTTAAAAGTACGAACTTTATGGCGATTCGCACCCTCAATCCTACCAAACTTTTATGCATGGCTTTCACTTCCCCGTATCGCTTAGACTGTCATAACAAACCTCATGCCTTCTTACTGAAAGCGCCGGTCGTACGTGAAGGTTTCGATTGCTGGGACATGGCGTAATCCGCATGCGGTGTCGTATAACGCGAAATAACTGCAATACGCGATGCGACTCGTCCGTCGACCCTTCTGCATCTCTGCCTTCTTGCCGCGCGACGGGCTCTTGTTTCGTACTCCACGTCTCCACTGTTATCCGCCGTGAAGACGGCGTCCCCACGCGCAATAATAAGGCTTTCAATCGGTACTGCAAGCGGGATCTTTTTGCCATCGCTGTACTACTTGGGTAATTTATAACCGAAGCTGCTTTGTGAGAGTTGGAGAGGCTAGGTTTGAAAATAAATCGGGCTGAGGCGACAAAGTGGTAACTCATTTCTATCCTTTTTTTACTTTCTCTCTTTGTCAACCGTGTCTTGTTCCCCAAGCTCTTCGCTTTTTACATTGGATTATTAGAAGCGCAGTTTGAATGGGACTGTTCATGAATATCGTCAAGTGGATGAACCTTTTGCAACGTGATAGCACTTGAAGTCGCAACTTACAAAATTTGAAGAGCTGACTCGCCATTGCTCCTTCTTGCCTAATCCTCACCATGCGGTACGTCCTCTACCTTGCTTCTGCCCCATTTTTGTGTTGCCTGAGGCTGCCGACCTTTCCTTGAATCGTAATTTATAGAAATCGACCATGAATTTTTACCACATACACTTATTGCTATTCCTAAAACGACACGTGCATACCGCCATGGATTACAACTGAGATGAGCAGAGTTTAAATTGATACTGCGATATTCTCAATGGTTTCTGTCCAATGTTTTTCCGCAACTGAAAAGCTCAGTATTAAATGCCTATAAACATGTACAACTAGCGATATCCCCTCGATGGCAACTAGACCGACACTTCCGTCCCTTTGCGAAATATTCCCCAGAGGCTTCTTCTCCCAGGCTAGAGAAACAGATAGTCCCTTCAAATTTTTCCTCGTGTTTCGTACGAAACGCCCCAAAAAATCGCAGTTAGTGTAATGTACACTTGTTGTAAAAGCGCGTACGGAAGGTAAGGGAAATTCGTCGTTGGAAACAAATAAATTCAGAGGAGCCTTTTGTTTCCCTGGCCTAGGGAAGGATAGGA